AGATACTAAACAGTTCTTGTTACCACAAGGATCCGAGAGTGTGTGTGTGTGTGTGTGTGTGTGTGTGTGTGTGTGTGTGTGTGTATGGCTTGTGTAGAATTTTATCTTTGTGAACCTAACTAGAGGTTATAACTTGAGGCTTATTAGCGCCTTTCTAGGATCAACCCTTCCTTCACCCTACCCTTTGAAAACATCCATGTACAATGACCCAATCGAATGCTTCTTATGTTGTAAATAAGAATGGATTTCAATGAATGGAGTTTGCCTTTCAGGATGAGAATGAAACATTTACAACTTTATTCACATTTAGTTCACAACATTTACCAGGAAATCGAGTGACATAAACTGGGGAAAATACGAGCTCCATATTCTCTGCTTTCTTTTCTCTGGGACATTACTACTGGTGTGCACAATTCTAACATTATGAGAATTAGTAGGTTTCACTGAAAGACTAGTTTGTCCCACACAAATCTACATTATTCAAACCCTGGTAGGTTTAAGAGTACATTGGGAAGATGTCAACTTTGATCTTTCCTGCTTGTCTTCAGCTGATGGACATCATGCGATCGTTGAAGTGGAAGATGTCTCATTAAATGCTAAGATGGTTGACTTGCCTTGCGTTATTGGAAGCCTGAAAACTCTTGATAACAAAACCTTTTATAAAACGGCAGATATTTCCAAGGTATGGATGAGTTTTCTTAACCTTCTACATCTCACATCCTTGTATGAACCCCTTTCTCCCTCCTTTTCTCTTTCTTTCAGTGTTCCTTTCCACTTGGTGAATGGCTGCCTATCATTTCTAATTTTGAACACAGGAATACAATGGTATATTCTGGTTTGGTGTTTGATCCATAACTTTTCACTACTTTATTTTATCCAAATAACTTTTAGAGTCTCCTTTTTGCCACTTACAGTGACTTGAATTCTTTGTGACCATCTGGGATTTTCTTCTGAATGTTCTGCTAAAGCAATATGCTAACTGGAGGTTTACACTGGTTCTTATTCACCACCTCTACTGTTGATGTCTTGTTTCCTTTCAAAATTAAAATGCTAAGATATATTTTTTTGACATATTCCTTTTGCAGTAGTAAGCACTCAAGCTAAAAAAAACCCAAACACTCAGAGTCCACATACAGTGCTGCCGAGAGAGAGAGAGAGAGAGAGAGAGAGAGAGAGAAAGAAAGAATATGAATGCATGTAACACTTGGTTTTCTGGAAGTGCTGAGTAACATTCTCCTTACTTCTATGCTCCAGGATTTCTGGTGGTAAGAATGATCAAGGTTCATTACTAACTCAAGATTTGAGGCCCTAGTTAACTTGTTTGTCTTTGTTAAATGTAGATGCTTGTGTGTACCGCTGATGGTGATCTCCACTCTTCTCTGGAAGAACCAGTTGCTTCTGCTGATCTTAAAGTAACAGGGAAAAATAAAAAGAGACAGAAAAAATATGCCTGGAAGCATGGCAGTAAGTCACTGGCCCCTTGCTCATTCTGGCTGACTATATTTATCTGTTGAATCCGAATTACTTGTGAGCCACATTTAAGTGTTTGGTTCATCCAGACACTCTTAAAGGAATGAGTCATGTCATGAACCAGTAGTTTATAACATGACCTTTCTCCTCATCAAATTCAGATAGATATGTGACTACCATAAGTCTTACACGTGTTTCACCATGTTGAATTTATTTTAGTTACTCCACCACTTAAGAACATCAGAAAGAAAAGATTCCGCAAAACAACAAAAAAGGTTAGTTGCATGCTAGTTCTGGGTCTACTGGGTGGATTGGAAAGGGATTATGAGTGGGGGAAAGGGAGACAGTTAGTTGGGGATTAATTTGTTCATTCATTTATATGTCCAATAAGTGTTTATTGAGTGTGAGCTAAATATCAGGCACTGTGGCTACCAATTGTGAATATATAGTAAACAAAAGCAGATCTGATCCTTGAGATTATAGGCTAGTCCTTTAGGGACCTGGATGTGTCTTGAATTTGAAACTTCTGCTAATACTTTTAGTTTTCAATTGCAAGATCTAGCTTTAAAGTGAACCCATCCAGAACCTGAGAATTGGTATTGTGGTTATGTTCCCAATCTTACCTCAGTCTTGTAGAACCTTGGACAAGCTACAGGAGTACTGTGGCTTAGCTTCTTTTTTTAGTTAAACTTTTTATTTACTTACTTATTTATTTTAAATTGGGAAATTGGGTGAGGGGAACAGTGTTGGGGAATTGGGGAGGGGGAACAGCCAAGTTGTTGTTCTTCAATCTTAGTTATGGAGGGTGTCAGTTGCCATCTGGCTGCCTGTCGGCAGCTCGTGGCCTCTAAGCTCAAGGTGCTGTGTTACAATCTTAGTTGTGGGTGGGCGCAGCCACCATCCCATGTGGGAGTCAAACCAGCAGCCTTGTTGTTAAGAGCGCATGCTCTATCCACTGAGTGATCAGGATGGCAGCTCAGCTCAAGGTGCCGAATACATTCTTAATTACAGGTGGGCATAGCCCACCATCGAACAGGCAACCTTGTTGTTAGGAGCACCTGCTCTCACCAGCTAAGCCATCCTGCCACCTGTTGGCAACTCAGTGGCAGCTCAGCTCAGGTGCAGTGTCACTGGCCCATGTGGGAATGAAACCGACGGCACTGTTGCTCAGAGCTTGCGCTCTTAAGCTAACTCTTAACCAACTGAGCCACTCAGTCAACCCTAAAGTTTTTATTTTAAAATAATTGTAGATTCACATGCAGTTGTAAGAAATAAGAGACATAGCATGTACACTTTACCCAGTTTTCCCCATTGTAACTTTTTTGCAAAATTATAGTACAATATCACAAACAGAAAATTGGCTTTGTTACAATTCACCAATCTTTTTTTTAATTAAAGTTTATTGGGGTGACAATGGTTAGTAAAGTTACATAGGTTTCAAGTGTACAATTCTGTAATACATCATCTATATATCACATTGTGTGTTCACCACCCAGAGTCAGTTCTCCTTCCATCACCATGTAGTTGACCCCATTTACCCTCTTCTGCCATCTCCCTCCCCCCCTTCTGATAACCACTAAACTGTCATCTGTGTCTATGAGTTTTTGTTTCTTTGTTTGTTTGTCTTGTTCCTTTGTTGTTTTCAGTTTTATATCCCACATATGAGTGAAGTCATATGGTTCTTGACTTTTTCTGTCTGACTTATTTTGCTTAGTATAATAATCTCAAGATGTATATATACACAATGGAATACTATTCTGCCATAAGAAAAGATGAAAAAGATTGGGACAACTATTCACCAATCTTATTCAGATTTCTGCAGTTTTACTTGTACTCCTGCGTGTGTATGTGTGTGTGTGTGTGTTTGTGTTTAGTTCTATGCAGTTTTATCCCATGTGTAAGTGTATTCACCTAAACATCAAAGATACTAAACAGTTCTTGTTACCACAAGGATCCCTCGTCTTGCCCTTTTATAGCCACACTCACCTCCCACCTACCCTACAGCCCCAGTCTCTAATCCCTGGCAATCAGTAACATGTTCTCCATTTTTCTAATTTTGCCATTTTGAGAATGTCATATAGATGGAATTATGCAATGTATAACATTTGAGACTGGCTTTTTTCAGTATAATTTCCTTAAGATATCTGCAAGTTGTTGCATGTATCAATGGTTCATACCCTCTTATTGCTGAGTAGTATTCCATGGTATAAATGTACCACAGTTTGTTTATCCATTCACCTGTTGGAAGACCCCTGGGTTGTTTCCATTTTGTGACTATTTTAAAGAAAAGCTGTGAGCAGGTTTTTGTGTGAACCTAAGTATTCATTTTTTGGGGATAAATGCTCAGGAGTGCGATTGCTGCGTCATATGGTAGTTGCATGTTTAGTTTTATAAGAAGCGACCAGACTGTTTTGCAGACGGCCTGTACCATTTTGCATTCTTACTAGCAATGTATATGTGATCCAACTTCTCTATATTCCCTCCAGCATTAGGTGTTGTTGCTGTTTTTTTACTTTAGCCATTCTGACAGATATGTAGTGATCTCATTGTGGTATTAATTTGCATTTCCCTGATGGCTAATGATGTTAAATATCCTCTCATGTGCTTATTTGCCATCTGTATAAGCCACTCAGTGGAATGTCTGTTCATGCCTTTTGCTCATTTTGTAAATGGATTATTTTTTAATTGTTGAGTTTTGAGAGTTCTTTTTTATTTTCTGAATACTAGTCCTTTGTCAGCTATCTGGTTTGCAGATATTTTCTCCCAGTCTGTAACTGGACTTTTCATCTTCTTTACAGGGTCTTTCAAAAAGCAAAAGTTTTTTGTTTGATGAGATCCAATTTCTTGATTTTTCCTTTTAAGGATCTTGTACTTTGTGTCCCGTCTATGAACTCTTTTCCTAGCCCAGATCCTGAAGATTTTTTCCTATTTCTTATTTTCTAAAAGTTTTACATTTTACGTTTAAGCCTGCAATCCATTTTTGAGTTAATTTTTGTAAAACGTATGAGGTTTAGTTCAAGGTTCATTTTTTTTTGTCTTGTCCAATTGCTCCAGCTCCGTTAGTTCAAAAAGGCTATCCTTCAATTGTATTGTTTTTGTACCCTTGTCAGAAGCCAGTTGGGCATATTTGTTTGAGTCTTTTTTTGGAGTCCCTATTCTGTTTCATTAATCTGTGTGTTGCTCCCTCCACTGATATCACAATGTAGCTATATAGTAAGTCTTGAAATAAGGAAGACTGTTCTCAGTTTATTTTTCTTTGTCAAGATTTTTTAAACTGCTCTAGACCCTGTACCTTTACATATAAACTTTAGAATAAGTTTGTCTATGTCTATAGAAAACCAGTTGAAATTTTTATAGGAATTGCATTAAATCTAGAAATTAATTTAGGGAGAAGTGACATCTTTACTCTGGTGAATCTTTCAATCTATGAACACTGTTGCCTTGGCTTTTTTTTTTTAATAGATGATGCACTTTTATTTTTTAAGATTTTTTTTAATTGGGGAATTGGGGGGATGGGAACAGCGGTGGGGAACTGGGGGAAGGGGAACAGACAAGTTGCTGTCCTTTTGTTCTTCAGTCTAGTTGTGGAGGACGTTGCTTCACTGGCCCAAGTTGGCACC